AAAAAGTGTGCACGGAGTGAGATTTGAACTCACGCTCTCCGAAGAGAACCAGAAGTCCCTGGAAGTCAGTGCAGACTTGAGTCTGGCGCCTTAGACCGCTCGGCCATCCGTGCTTTCGATGATTCAGGAGCGAAATCTGAGTTTTGAATATTCGGTTTCAATAGACGCCGATACCGCTTCTTTTATCGAGTTTTCAAGATGATTTTCTGGCTGAAAACCATCTTCTGGCGAATCTCCTGCTATGCCGTATTCGGATATCCCTCGTAACAGTATCCCAGAAGAAACACTAATGCCTGGCGGACTTATGATGGTTCAAAGACTCTCTATGATGAACATGCAGGCCAACTTTCCGATGCCGGTTATCACGTCGAACTGCGCCGCGCTGGAAGTCTTCCCTGAGCTCTTCCAGCTCTTCGCTACCTAAACAAGAAACAAACTCGACGTACAGACATGTCGTTCGAAAACGAAAACTAAACCCGTGCACCGTAGTAGGCTGTGATGCTGTAGCACAAAATAGTGCCTTTTCCTTTCACGAATACTTCGCCATGCTCCTCTGTCTCGAAATCTGTATCAAGCAAATCCTTCGTGGTGGTACTGCACTGTGCATGCATCTCTAAAGAACAAAAAACAAAAGTGGTAGTTTTACTGTTCCCGCACCACCAGGGGAAGTCATCTGAAAGAGCTATAGAACGCACCGTCCGTCGTCTCTAGCATACGCAAGGCAATCTGAAGGGTCTCTCCGAAAATGCAATATCTCGGTAAAACCACACCTGTGGAAAAAGAAACAGAAAATGAAGGAAAGACAAATGCAACTTTTTTGACCAAATGGTGAATTTATTGTGCACGTACCAACAACGCCAGCTACACAGGGACCTACAAGCCGGAAAATAGCGTAAATTACGACAAAACCATCGGTATTATTTTGGAAGAGAGAACTAGCTAGTACCAGAGTTTAATCCCAGCGCTATTTTGACCGTTTGGTTGCTGGAGCGATGGCGCAAACTGAATTTGGATACTGTAAATAACAAGTGAAGCGCGAGCTTTGCCAGTTCGCTGGCGTGCCTGCCTCCATTAGTGACCGGAAGTCCGGACGCAATCTGGAAAATCGGCCACGCTATGTTGCAGTTCGAAATTGATGAATTTATGGTTCACCATGACTAACCGTTCCCAAGTTCTCGTGGAAATCTATCTTCAAGCAGTCATATTTGACCATACACTGTTCTAGGTAGTTATGGAAGTCCATCACGAATTCCGTTGTCTGCAGTGTGGTGTAGTCTGCAGTTATGGATGCGAAGTTGTCGATGCAGAAGAGCTCAATGGTACACATCTCGAAGGTCTCCGGCTGGATTCTCTCGTTCCTCTTCACTCTTTGGGCAATCGGTCTATAAGGAAGTGATGTTCTGCCGTGACTGATCAATGAGGAAGAAGCGAAAACACAAAGCTCTGACCGTACTTAGGTAGGAGACTGTACAGCAGTTCTTCACTTTGAATCTTCTCTTGAAGTAGCTGCTGGCTTCTCTCCTCAATGATGTGCTGCAAGTTGGTCATGAGTTCGTCCATCTGGTCCAGGAGCGTATCTAATATCCCACCCTTCTCACCAAACCCTCTGCAAACAAAAAGAGCAAAGCACTGCTTCGACTTCCTTAATCATCCGTTTTACGGGCATAAGACCGCACTACCGAACTCCAGTGTCTTACAAGTTTTTGCCCAAGTCGCGCATCATAACCTTGATCCGTGTAATGCTGGGTCTTTCGGACGGCAACTGAGACCACGCTCGCTTCGCCATCTCAATCAAAGCCGGACTGGCACATTCTTCTGGCAAGATCGGCCGGAATGGAACGACTTCCTCGTTCCCTGGCGGAATGGGTCGTTTCACTTCCGCTACGACTTCTGAAGATGAAAGCCAAAATCAACTTGGGCACTTGATTTTCTTTCAAACTAAACTTACTACCAACCTTCAGCACTCATCGCGCCGTACATGCCGAAAGGCGGAAGTCGTAGCATGGTTTCTTGAAGGATGATGCCAAAGCTGTAGATGTCACCGGACCTTGTCGGTGGTGGCGCCACGTTCCGTCCAAAGGCCACTTCAACCCGCATCTGCTCGGGAGCGGTCCATAGCATGTCAGCGTAGTAGTTAACTTCCCGCTTGGAAGCCCACATTTCGGCCACGGAAAGCTCGAAGAAACTGGGCAATCCATAGTCCGCTATTTTCAGAACGAACCGTGCGTCGACATAGCAGCATTTCGAGGTAAGGCGACTGTGGCAGTTCAATGCGCTATAGTGAATGTAACCGAGACCCTTTACCATATCGTGCAGAAGGGAAAAACGAATGATCCAGTCCAGCTTCTTATGATGGTCCAAGAGCATGCTCTGCGGAATAAGCGTAATATTTAAGAAATAAGCAAGAAAAAAACATTTCAGATCATTTATCACGAAACAGAAAGATTAATCAGTGGTCAGTGAACCAATTGGCAATTGTGCAAGCTTGTGTTCCAAGTGGCGCCCCCTTCTAGGCTATATAGTTGGATCGTGCGCCACGTGAGGCACCGATCGAGGCAACGTACACCGTTCGTTTGCCGGCTTCCCAAACAAAAAGCGTTATTTCTCCGTTAGCCGGGAAGAATACAGAAGACATAACGAACTTACTTCGAAAGTTCCCTTTGCGCAGTATTCGTAAATGATCATGACATGATCAGGTTCGATACAGGCGCCTTCGAACTTGGCCAGGTTCTCGAACTTCAAGTCACTTATCGTCTGTATTTCATCCAGAAGTTTCTGATTTATCAGTAAACGATATTTCGAGCTACGACGGGACATGTACAGTTTCTTTTTCCAGTATACTCCGTAGGGAAGTATGACTCCGTAGATCTCACGGTCCTCAGCCTCGGTCGACTTCATTTCGGACATCTCGATCTCTTCTTCCTCTTCGTCCAACAACCGGGCGGTTTCATCTCGGGTGGCCTTCCGTGCTTCGGCATGCGGGTCGGTGCTCGGAGTGTACAGCTCATTCCACTTGGCTAGCCAGACTAGTCGAGCTCGCTTCTTGGCTCTTTGATGAATATGAAGGTACCCTAGGAAGACGATGAGGAAGATCAGGCCGACAGCGCCGCCGCCACCAGCAGCTGTCGGAACAGTAATGTCGGCGGCTAAAAAGCAAAGTTTCCGATCGGTTTACTGTAAGGAAGAGGAAGGGGAAAGCACATACAGACCACATGGCAGGCTGCACCGTCGAAGCCGCAAGCTGGATGATCTTCCGGAGGAGTACTTCCAGGCCATCGTGGGTCCAACAGCCAGGTGATGTAGCCTGTCCCGGATGGCCTGCTCGCCGATGTGTTGAAGTTATATGTGGCGATGGGCTAAGCAAAACAGCTAAACATGGATAGGGTTTTTTACCGAAATACCCAAGCATGATAATGTCACTTCCTGTGGGCAACTACAGCTCACCGTGAAATAGAAGTATCTGGCGTCTTGAATGTCCATCAAGTCCATGTCTTCTGAAAAGTCTACGCCCGGTCCTTGGAAGAAGAGACGGCTGGTCCCGGCTGTAAGCCGTGATTTTAGCGCGAGTTAGCATTGCTCTCCGAACAGTAGAAGGAAGCGTCAACTTGCAGAAGAACTTACTGTCGTAACCGTCGGGATGGCTCTGGAGGTAGTTTTGCACGGCCTGGCCAACATTCGTGACGCCGCTATTATTTCCTTCTGCAATGTGACGGATGATGTCCACAGCCATATGTAATGCATTGTAATGCGTGATAGCCGCATCTGACAAGGTGAGAAGAATGCCAACTACGTCAAACCGAAAGTGAAATGTAATCAACCTGAAAGATACTTACAGGTCGCCGTCTTGCCGGAAGTTCGTTTGCTGTTGTACTTCGTGATGATGTCCTTGTAGCGTGTCGGGTTTATCGTAAATATCTGCAGAGCAGCGAAAGCACTCCTCGCCGGATCATCCTGTGAAGTAACTACAAGGTCATAGCTTCGCGCCGAAAGCCTCTTTTATACTCACATATTGAGTGGAAAAACTTGGCAATACTGACCGTCGTTCCATGCTCCGTATTTTACCAACGTATCGTTGCCCAAGTTATCCCAAGCGAAGAAGGCGAAGGATCCGTTGCACATTCCCAGTGCGTTGGCGGCTTTCATTATACCCAGAACGACGTCACCCGTAGCAAACAACAGGACCACTACAAAGAAGACAGACAACGTTAAGATTCAAGCATAGTATAATATCAAACCAGCAATCACGGTCAGACCTCTGGCGTGGAGGTGAATCTCATTCAGCACGTCGTTGATGCCGCTCAAAGGATCAACATGATCAACCTTCTGGGAGTAGACAACCATGCTGCGGTTCCGAGCCAGCGATTCAAAATCTGTAACGCACAAGGAAGGCTGAGACAGACGGATAAAGAGATACAGTGCATTATGCCGTGCGGTCTGTAGACTCACCTGAAATGATGGTGCCGTAGCTCTTGTCCGGGTCTCCGTCATAGATGGTGCTTAAGTTTGACCAATTGTACAGCGCACAAAGCTTGAAAAACATGTCGAATTGTGTGGCGGTACTATACGCTACTCTGATGACATGGGGATATTTCGAGATGTGGCGAGCGTAGGGGGATTCGGGAGACATGGTCAAGGTACCGTTGGTGTTCTTAGCGTTGTAGAACATGCTGAGTGGTGCTTGGATCTGCAGTTCGCGCGTGCAGGGAGAGGCGATCAGCGCGTCGATCAACGATGCGGGCGGGGGACCTCCAACGGGAATCAGAAGGGCCTCGGCTTGTGCGACAGCTTCGTGGCAGTCCACAGCGTTGCATGGCGGATGCGGGACCAGTGCGTTGATGGGTGGAAGGGTGACGACGGTCACTCCTTTCGCGGCCCAGTCCGCTACTGCCAGCTGGAAGGATCGCTGGATGTAGGTCTTGTAGTCAAGGCCGGAATCAGGTTGTGAGACGCCCAGTATCCCTACGATCAAGCTAGTTATCTTCGAACCAGTCATAATGTACCCGTCGGTACAGGAAAACAGCAGAGGGAACACGCAGAGCATGATTGTCCTGAGAACACTCGCACCAAGGTCTGCCATTTCAGTGGTGGATTTCTGGTGAATGTACCTCATAGC